TGGGGTTATAGTTTAACAATATAGGCTGGTAACATTCAGTGAAACAAGCAAAGTGACATTCTATAAGGCAATTTAAGTGGTCCACCAACAAAAGCTTGATCTTAGCAAATGTTGCTTCTCCCTACAGCAGCTTCCCAGTATCTTTACATATCAATCAGTAACTTGTCTGTCTTTGAGCCAGCAGCCTTGCTGTGTTACAATTCTTTACCTTACAACAGAGAGTATAGCCTGGGGAAAATTACCTGTTTTTTTGCAAGGTCAACATTTTATATGTACTTTTAAGAAGTTAGACTAAACCTGAAAGTATAAGAAACTAGGCCCTGTGAAATATGTTTGCTTTATAGTATACTCCGCAGTAATGTTTTGAGATTCATCTGTGTTATTATGTGTATACTCTGATCTTTTTAACATGTCAAGTACTTTTCCACACCACCTCATAGTCTTCATTATGGTCATGTGTAATGACTACAGGAAAGTCTATTGTATGGAAGTAGAGGCTGAGTATTCATTATCCAAAATGCTTAGGACCAGAAGCGTTTTGGATTTCAGATTTTGGGGGGTTAGGGATTCTCAACCTGTACTGTAACTTCACTTACCCCTAAAATGGTGTCGTAGTGTAGCAGATATTTCACCGTCAGCTGTTTTCTCCTCTGTTCCCAAGTTTTCAGCACTTCTCTAAATGGTGATGACTCACTGATCTGTTTCTCCAGTCTTCTCCTTGCCAAGCTGCAGAGGCATTTTTCCTGGTGGGGCACTGCCTCCAGGTGAGCAGCCCAGTGTCATCAGACCTTCCTGGCTGCCCAGCCCCTCGCTCCCTGAGTGCTCTGCAGTGTCTCCTCATCCAAAACTGTTTCTCAAACAGCTTCTGTGTGGGCATGGTAATTCACTCACCACCCATGCTAACAACTGCAGTCCTGCTACTTTTCCTCCATCCTCCACATGCATATTTGTCTGTGTCCCTAATGTCGCTCAGATCCATCCCTCCTCAGCATTCTGGCTGCTACTGTTCTAATTACATCCCCATAACTTCTCACCTGGAAGATACCACAATCGCCACCCAGCAGGTCACCTTGCCCCAGGCTCACTTCTCTCTATGCACTACCAGGACTATGCTTGTAGTAAGTCTGACATGTGTCATTTACTGGACATTTTAAACAAACATAAATGACTCCATTTTGGCTTTGGGGAAAAGTCCAAATGTACTAAAGCACGCCATTGGTGACTTGATCGACTGTGACCTTCCAGTTCAACTTCTCGTCTGGACGGGCTCTCCCTTTTCTTTCCTCTTCCCAGATCCCAGCCATAGATTCATTCATTCCTCTTATCCATTTTTTTTTTTTTTTGCACATCTTATTCTCTCTGCCTGAAATGCCCTCTCTTTTATCCACTACCCTTCTGTTTGGGGCCTCTCAAACAGTTCATTTTTTAAGTCCTAGCTAAAACGTCTTGTCTGCAGTTGAGTTTTGCCCAAATCTTTTAAGCAAGTTAATTACATCTTCTACTCTGCAAAGTACTTTGTACACACTTACGACTTTGTTCTATTAGTTATTTGTTTATAGACCTCTTTTCACCATCCAGAGCTGTGAGCTCTTCAAAGGCAAGGCCAATATCGCCTTCATTTTTGTAGGTCTACCATCTTGTGCCTGGCATTTAACCAGCTGCTTAGACCTCAGTGAATGACTGATTTTACTACCGAGGATGGTAACTAGGGAAAGGTGGTTCTCTCCTTATAATAACGTTAGTACTCAATGGTTTTCCTATAAACTGTCTAAAAATAAAATTTCTATCTTTAGGAATGAATTATAATAAAAGCTATAATTCTCCTCAGTACATTCTATATTATGTCTGACCATCTCAGTTAATCCTCAGATGATTTTGAAAGTGTCAGCCTTTGAAATAGGTTACAGTTAAATTTAATGGTCTACATCCACAATAAGCATTTTGCTTCTGATATAGGGGGAAATTGAGTCATTCTGATTCTGTCTAGAGTTGCATTGAATAACAACTGGTGTAATAGAGGATCATAATTATGATATTTTAAGATTTTTGTTGCTTTTCATTAATGTTAATCTTTGGAGTCACATTTATCTAAATTAAGAAAAAAATATATTGTATTTCAGAATTATTTTTGAGCCATCAGAATTAACAGCTAAATCACATCTTTTTGTACACTAGTCTTGATTGTTTCTATTTCATGTAACAAATGGGAATTTAACCCTTAATTTGCTTAAAAAAAAAAAAAAGCACCTGGCATTCCCATAATAATTGTGTAAAAGACTACAGTTGACCCTGGAACAACGTGACAGTTAGTGGTGCCAACCCGCCACACTGTCGAAAATCCACGTATAACTTGATTTCCCAAAAACTTAACTACTAGTAGTCTACTGTTGACTGGAAGCCTTACTGATAAAGTCAATTAACACATGTTTTGTATGTATTATATACTGTATTCTTACAATAAAGTAAGCTAGAAAAAGAAAATGATATTAAGAAAATCATAAAAAAGAGAAACTTTTCCAGTATATTTATTGGAAAAAAGAGGATCTGCACAGTTCAAACCCATTTTGTTCACGGATCAGCTGTAATTGATTTTGTACTTTGTGTGTAAAAATTATGAGCTAGGTATGGCAGTATCATGAATTGGGTGCCTGCTCATTCCTAACAAGTATTGTTCAGCTCTAAGTCTACTGGTTCACATTTTATTAAAAAAAGAAAAAAAGAGGAAAGAAATGAAGGCTTAGAAGTTAAGTAGCTTTCCTGCCAAACAGCTAGAAAGCAAACTTTGAATAAGAACCCATGATGGCTAGACTACCAAACGCCTGATAATCACAACAGGGGAAGTTTGAAGAAACTGCTTGAAAGGTTGGTGAAATAAACACTATAGTTTGCATTAATAACTATTTTTAGAAACTTTTTCTTCTAATCGAGAGTTTGAGAAGTATTGTTAAATTGGAATATGTCTTACTGTTACCTATCAGAGCACTGTGACTTACCAAAAACAGTATATTGCCAAGAGCAGTATACAAATTGTCTAGTCAACACTTAACCAGTGTCTGTGAACTTCAGGCTACCTCACACCTTATGGAATGTGTTAATTCTTTTACTGTTCTGGTTTTGTCTACAATTTTGGTTTAACAAGGCTGTGTATTTAAAGTAATTTTAAAACTCTTTATAGCTAAGTCACTTTTGAGTTGCAGATTTCCAGAAATGATTTTTTTAAAGTAGATTTTAGTTAAAAAAAAAAAAAATCTATTAATCTAATGAAAAATATGTGTACACCAAAACAGAGCTCTTTATCTCATTGAGTTGTTTGAAGATGGAGTGATAGCCACCTCGAACTTAGCTCATTCTTTTTTTATTCTTTTCTGTCCTAAATTTGGACTTTGGCTCTATGTATAAGTAAAATGTCATGTTCTCTCACCTGCAGCGATGCAAGATATTACCAGCAGTGTCTGTTTTTGAAAGCCCATTGAATAGTCTTTGTAGTCCTGTTCCTTGTCCAAATCCAGACTCTTCAACTTTTGATTTTCCTAATTTAATGTCATTTGTCTAGAGCAGTAGTTCTTGAGCTTCAATGTGTAATAAAGTAGACCACATTAAAATGCACATTCCCCATTTTTACACCTATCAATTCTGACTCAGTTGGCTTGGAACAGAGTCCAGAAGTTTGCACTGTCAAGGATTCTGATGCAGGTGCTCCTGGACCACACTTTGACACTGCATTTGCTGTCTAGAATTTTGTTTCATGTATGTAAAAAACTGTATATAAATCAAGTAAGCATAGTAAGAATAATATCAACCATGTAGCTCCAACGAAATTAAGTCCATTTTTGTAAATAGGCTTCCAAATGTTATGCATGCCAAGGGCTTTTACCAGCTCTTTTGACCCTTTGCCCTAAAAATGATTCATCAGGGAGGAGGAGAGGTAGAACAGTACTTGACTCAAAATCACCTTTTTATTAACATTAAATTTATTATTGCAACGTGATTTCTTTAAGTCTAACTCATTTTTCTCAGGCCCCAATCTCAGCATATTGTGAGTTATTCAGCCATACTTTTGTCACTGATCACTTTTCTCCCTAAGTGTTTTCATTTGTACATGGAATGTTTGCTGTTGTGTTAAGGAGAGCATCTGTTTTGCAGCATGTTGCTGGCCAGGGAAGAACCAGAAAAACAGCAAAGCCTTTTCAGACTTTCCTTGAACAGGGGGAAGAGAAGCCTTGGCAGGAAGTGGAGGCCCAGCTGGGACCTGTGCTGGAAGATCAGCTTGAAAAGAGGCTGTGTGGGCCAGATCAGCCCACTTGCAAATAAAACTTTGTCAAGACTAATCAGCATAGGGGGAAAAAAAGATAACTTTTTACCTGCCTTATCTTGCAGTCTTTTCAGCAGTGCTTCCGCAGGAGAATTTAGCCCTAATGCCTCAAGGTGTCCGCTGTATGTGTGAGTTAACATCACTCTTCTGGATTTCAAGTTGGGAACATTGCCAGGCAGATCCTGCTTGAGATTCTGTGCATGGAGCTCAAAGAGGCTTGAGTTCTAGACCCAGTTCTGCTATTCCAGTTTCCTCTTTAGTGGAATGAGATTTATGACAATGCCTGTTTTATTCACTCAAGCATTGTTATATTATGTGAAACAGTAAAGGTCAGAGCACTTTGTAAAGTATGAAGTGAGTTTTAAAGGTAAAGTGGTAATATTTATGGGAGAATTGATTTGATAGTGCAGGCATTTTGTAAAGTAAATTCCTAATAAGTTAAAGTTAGTGGAAGACTTTGAAATTGGTTCATATTAATTCATTGATACAGTGCCCGAGAGCAATCAGAAAGCCATTTGTAGCTAATTTTGAAATTCGAATAAAAGACCCTTGTCTACCACATATCTGCCAAATTGCTTGGTTATTTGAAAACATGTCTTTGGGGAAGCAAAATCTGGATCTTTTATGAGTAGGTGATCATTCCACAGTGTGTGAAGACTTGCTCTACAAAGTATAATAATAACTCCGTATTTCACTTTATTGTCACCAAACTGTAAGTTTGGCAGAACGGGTCGTATTTATTCCTATCTTGTATTTCAGGACACTGAGGCCCAGAAAGTTTGATATGCCTGTTTGTTGGACAGTCTAGGGTCCCACCTTCTGCAGTTCTATAGACTACTGCCCTTCCATAAAGTGTCTACTTACTTTTAAAAAAATGGTTTCTTGGCCACCTTGTTCAGTGATATCACTGCCTCCAATTTTATTTTATTTTATTTTATTTTTTTATTATTATTTTTTTTAAAGATGACCGGTAAGGGGATCTTAACCCTTGACTTGGTGTTGTCAGCACCACGTTCACCCAGTGAGCCAACCGGCCATCCCTATATGGGATCCGAACCTGTGGCCTTGGTGTTATCAGCACCACACTCTCCCGTGTGAGCCACAGGCCGGCCCACTGCCTCCAATTTTAAAACAGATTAGACCCTGCTTTAAGTGTCGCCAACATACTCACTTGCCCTGGAAGTATGTCATGATAGGATTTCCTTTCATAGAGTAATATTACGAAATAACCGTTCTACTCCAGTAGAAGGTGGTTTCCCCTTTTGCGGTTCTGGGGTTGGGGTACAGGAGAAGTAAGATATAAGAAAGTTATGTTTACCCTGAGAAGTGTATGGACCGTGAGCTGTTGAAGCAAGGAGTGAAGGAGCCCAGAACCAAGTGGCTGGCTTCCCAGGTGGCCAGAGAGGGACTGAGAGAGGGACCCAAAGCAGGCAGGCTGAGTTGAATGCCTGCGTCTCATGTGCCTCATAGACGGTGAACTCTGGGACAGGAAGGGTCACCACCCACAGCAGGCTGCCAGGTGCACCTAGGGAAAGCGGGTGTTCAGGAGGGGAGGGAGTCATCCTGTTTTCTTGTTTGTCTCTTCTCTCTGTCACAGTCTGACCTCCCATGTGACCCTACCTCCCCAGTTTTATTTCTCCTTTCCTTCGTTATATTTTAGGTCTGGTTTAGACAAAATCTCTGGAAAATTCTATTGCATATAGTGTCAAGAACAGTAGCAGTAGAAAGGAAAGGCTTGAGGTGGATGTACGTACTACACTGTAACACCCTGTCATCTGTGCGTGCACATGCATACTTATCTTCTTTGAATACTAGACAAGCAGTGCTTCTTTTTAACTGTTATTTTCTGTAATGGAACCCCAGGGGTGTCTTTGAGAAATCTTTAAACACATTTGAACAGGTGGACTCTTGCAAGGCTAGTAATGCTAACAGTAACGTTTATCCAGACACTTGCCTGTGCCAGGCTGGGCCAGGTGCTTCACGTGTCTTGTCTCATTTAACCCTGTAGGGAAGGCACTAAATATTACCTCCATTTTTAAAATGAGGAAATGCAGACTTAGAAAGCTTAAGCACTTTGCTCAAATCATGTAGCAGGTAAGTGGTGCAGCTGAGATTTGATCCTAAGTATTCTGACTCTTTTCTATTAAGACATATATTTATGTTCTTCAGCATTAAGATATTTTTAGTTGTCTCATAATGAAGTGTGCTACTCGGATGTAAAGAGAAAGTTCTGTATCGTTTCAAAAGGATATTAACAGTGTAGGGCCATGGCTGTAATGTTTTTCTCTGTACAGTACATTTATCAGTCAGCGAAGGGACATGAGTCTCTGTGAGATGGAAATAAGAAAGGTCTGACCTCCCCTTCTTAGGAAA